AGCGCACCCTAACAGGGAGGACCAGGCAGGACGTGCAGAGGGACCGAGCGCACCCTAACAGGGAGGGCCAGGCAGGACGTGCAGAGGGCCCGAGCGCACCCTAACAGGGAGGGCCAGGCAGGACGTGCAGAGGGACCCCTCCAGGCTACAGGACAGGAGGCGGCTCTCTGCCCAGCTCTGGGCTGTCCTTGGGATCTGGAGTGCCCTAAGGGCCATGTGTGGGAGGCTTCATCCGCCTGTAGCGCTACTGGGAGGTGGTGCACCTTAGGAGGTGGGCCCTACTGAGAGGAGGTGAGCCCCTTGGTGTGTCCTTGAGGGCCCTTGGGTCCTGCCTCCCCCGTCTCTTTTTCCTGCTTCCTGGTTGGCTTGGGGTGAGCAGCCTCCTCTGCCACAGGCTCCGGCTGCCATGGTTTGCTGTGCCCCCACAGGCCCAGAGGAACAGGGCCAGCTGCAGGCTGAAACCTCAGAAAACAAGAGCCAAACAAACTTTCCTACCTGATAAAGTGTTCTTGTCAGGTATTTCATCACAGTAATGGAAAGCTAGCACACTCATAAACAAAGACAAAATGAAACACCTGGCACCAAGACAGCGGAAAGGCACCAGTGACCTAGAACCGCCCGGGGTCGTGAGTTCCTGGATCACACTGGTCTGTGGTGTGTACCCAGCAACCAGCGGCTTCCGCCCCCTCCTCCCTCACTGTGCAAGCTCTTGGATGACGCAGCCCACCTGCTCATGGTTGACAAGGACCATCCTCATCCAAATGGCTCATTGCTCTGCTACGGCAGTAGCTCAAAGGAAGAGAAAGGAAGACGAATTAAAAACCCAAAGAGGAGCCACTGAATTTGGGCATGGTGCTTTCATTTCTCCATAGAAAAACTGGAAAGCTAGATCTTACAAGGCCCTTCCTTCCTGCCAGGAAATTTCTGAATGTCTTACAAATACTATGGCAATGAATCCTCAGACACCCCAAAAGTACATCCCATTAGTTTCCCTATTTTATAGGCAGAGAAATTGAGACAGAAAGAGCTTCAGTAACCTGATGAGGATCACATAGCAAGAAAGGGACAGTCAAGATGTGGGCCCCAAGCCAGGCTTCAGGGTCCAGTTCTTAACCTGCCTGACGGCTCCTGTCAGTCTGCCCTTTGCTCTGATCACATGAGAGAATGATTGGGCTGTTTTGACAGATGAATGTAAATTAAAACTAATGGATAACTCATAATGGCTTGTGAATAGATTCATTTGTTCCAGAGTTTTTCTGACTGCCTACAGAGATGGAGGCCCCTGGGTATGAGCACACAGGGTGGGCAATGAATGAAAAACAGCGCCTCGTAGTTGCAGGCCCTGGGCAGGCAAGGCCTGCCGCCCAGTGGGTTAGCCCTGCAGCCTTACCAGGCCATTGATTCCCTCTGGCCACCAGTGTCCTTCTCTGTAAAATGGAAAAGTAGGTTTCTCCCTGGCAGAATTCACTGGAAAACTGAACACGGTATTCAGTAGACAGTTGGTAGTACTAAAAAATAGCTCACACCCAACAACGAGAAAGACATGAATAGTTACGTCTTGTAGTTCAAGGAGAGAGAGGTAAATCTCACTGCAAGTGAACCTGTGATATAACTGGGGTTGGAAGTCCACGTTGGGAGGGTGTAGAGGAAAACATGACTCATGGGGCAGTCCGTGTGAGCTTGGCCCGATGTTCATGCGAAAGGTAACTCTCCAGCACCAGCAACCCACGTAGAGTCCAGCTGTAAACAAAACAGACTGAAATGTCTGCCCTGTGGGTGCTCAGGTTCTGCCTGAAGGAGCCAGTCAAACTGAAAGAGTAAACAATCCCAAGTGCTCTGAAGGAAACCCATGGAGCAGAGTGCAGGCAGGAAAGGAGGAGTAGAAATTCACAAAGCCTGGGGCAGAATGCTGGTGCCCATACCCGACTGCGGTCAGAACAGGAGAGCAGGGCCCTCCCCAGCCCTCAGGTCTGCAAGGAGGCCTGCTCCTGGCACCTCTCAACTCGGCCTTCTGTCCTTGCACTTGGAGGCCCTGGGTCTGGACCTCCCTTCTCCCCCTGTCTCCTCAAGGTTTCTGCTCAAGCCCTAAATCTCCCTGGTCACCCTGGGGGAGCAAACCACCAGGACCCAGGAAGAGTACGCTCCAGGCCTTCTTCCCCTGTGAGGTCTTGGCCCCGTGGTCTGCGGAGAACATCTCCTGCTTCTTAGAGTCCGGCTTCTGAACCTGCCCCAGTGCCCAGGGAACAGCGGGCTCTGCCCACTGCCCCGCGCATGTCCCACCAGGCGAGCGCTCTGACCCAGGACGCAGTCCTTCACCTGGCTGCGGGTGTCTGCTGTGGTTGCCCCACAAGGCAAGCGAAGGATAGTACCCACTGTATGCGTGCGTCTGGCCCAGGGCGGCGGGGTCACTAGATGCTGGCCAGCCCTGAGGTCAGGGGAGAGCTGCCAGGCCAGGCAAGCGGGTTCTGCGTTGCGCGCTCCCCTCTGAGTACGGGGCAACGCCGAGGCCACCCCGGGAAGCAGTGAGCCTGAGGACCGGACCGGCGGCCCCTGAAATGGTGCTGTGCAACCCCGGGACAGCGACCCCGGGACTCTGCAGCCCCACGCGATCCCAGGGGAGGGGCGGGCCGCGCCGGCCAATCGGGAGCCCGGGCCGCGTCATCCCCAGGTCGCCACCTCCCGCGGTTCCAGCCCAGAGTTGCAGCTCCAGCGGGTCCAGGCCAGTGCCCGGACCAGACAGGAGCCCAGCCCGCAGGTGAGCGCGTAGACCCCCAGGCGGGGTCCCGGGCTAGGGGACAGGGCGCGGACGGTCGTCCCCGTCGCCGTGTTTCGTGGTTTGTGCGGGATCCTCCCCTGTCCCGCTGACCCAGAGGCCGCGTTGGGTGGGGAGGGTCTGCGGTCCTAGGGGTCGCCGCCCGGGGGAGGGAGCCCGCTCTCCGCCTGACCCTCGCCCTCCGCCGGACCCTGGCCTCCCACACTCCTCTTCCCACCACCCTTTCCAAGGTAGCTTTCTTCCCCAGGCAGGCGCAGCCGCCTTAGTCTCCCCCCACCCCAACCAGGTGTGGTGGGAATGGGGGAGAGGCGCACCCAGAGGGGGAGGGCTCTGCGGAGAGGGCAGGTGCAGCTTCAGCCCTAGTGCTGCCTGAGGGGCAGCATGAGTACACGGTGCAGGTGCTGGGGGGAGGGGGACTTACAGGAGGTGAGGAAATGACACCTGAGGGTTAATGATGAAGCCAGAACAGGGTCTCCTTTGTTCTGAGCCTCCAGCTCCTTCCCTTCCTGAAAAGGGTGGTTGGAACACAGGTGAGAATATCTGCTGCTCAGGGAGGGTCTGGAAAGGTGGGCTTGGAGCAAGTGGGTATTGGGTAGGGGGCTGCCAGCTGGTGGCCCTGTACCCCCTGCCCCAAGCTTCAGAACCTCAGCCTTCTGCTGTGGACCTGCAGCCCCCCTGCGCTGACTCACCACAGGAAGCTGTGGGGGAGCTGGGCACCGCTGGAGCCTCCAGGCTCACCTTGAAGCAGGTCCAGTGACCCACAGGACCCCACAGGCTGCTTTGCACTAGACTTGGTCTCTTCCTGGCTGACCCCATGTGGGATTCCTGGTGCCCAGTGTCCTGGCAGCTTTATTCCTGGACATGAGGCCACAGGAGGACCCAGCCCTGCATGGCCACCGGCACATCGAGTAGGCCTCCTGAGGCTGGGCAGGCTTTTCTCCAGGGCCCCTTCCAGCCGCTGGGCAGGCTTGGGATGCTCCAGTAGGCTTTTGTGAGGTCCAGGTCTGGACACATACCCTACAGATGAAGAGAGGGTCCAAGCCCCTATGAAGAACTTTCCAGAAACAGCAACATTGTCAACGGGGGCTGAATCTCCAGGATTCTTCCCTGGCCTGCCAAGCCCCTTCAGTGAGCAGGAGGCATGAGCTCCCAGGCAGGGAACCCTAGTCCTGCAAACACCAAGGGGGACAGTAGTCTCAGGCTCTAGAGTATATTTCAGCAGGTGGCAGCCAGAACAGGGGCAGGGCTTGTTCAGCTGTCACCCTGCCCAGGCCCAGTTAAGCCAGCGCTGGCCTGAGTCTCCTTGTCTCTCTTGGTCCCCATTCAGGTAGGCTCTCTGCCAGTCCTCCAAACATGGACCAGGGAGGGCTGCCTTCATGTCTTCTAGAAGGGAGGAATCCCAAACTCAGTGGCACAGAGTGGCTCCTGCCACCAGCCAGCCTTTGCAAAGGGAAGCTCTGCCCTCATCTCCTGTGAGCAGCAGGCCCAACAGCCTTCCCCGGAGGCAGGCGGCACCAGAGCTCTGGCACTCCTGTGCTGCCTTCCTCCGCTGCCTATCCAGTACCCACCTGGGCACCAGGGGTGCACACACCATGGCAAACAGCACTATGGAACCCGGGGGTGGGGGTTCACCTTACAGTGCAGATTTTGTCCCGCGTTTCACAAATATTTCCTTTGTCTTGGGGTAGAGTTATTTTCTTTCCTGTTACAGAGGTCCCTTTGTTCAGAAATCTCAGTGTTCTAGAAAGGATCATGGCTTACCAAACAATAACACCACCCCCAGCTCCCTCTTGGGTCTCATCTGAAGTGTCCTCATCGAGCTCAGCCTGGCACTTGGACTGACGGGGACTTAACACAGGCCATTTTTAAAGGACTCAACTCTGAATGGTAGCTCTGGGCCACACCCAGCTCTGAACTTTACCAGGTGTCACCTGTTGTCCCATGGGGTCTTCATCAGAAAAGCATCATGGTCCCAGTGTGCTAGGCCTCTCCTTCCATGGGACGGAGGCAGTAGGTGGCCCAGGTATCTGCAGGTGGCTCTTACACACCTCTGGTGGGATACTGGGGAGCCTGCAGGAGCCCCAGGTGGCGATGGCCTTGGCCCCAGGAGGTGGGAGGTGCTCAGACCTCATCAACAGGGACTCCCTGGGGTCTGCAGTGGGCTGGGGCCACCAGAGTGCAGCACACACCTGCTCGGCCTCAGACCTCATCAACGGGGACTCCCTGGGGTCTGCAGTGGGCTGGGCCACCAGAGTGCAGCGCACACCTGCTCGGCTGCTTGGTGTTGCCTGAGGTGGTTCTCATGCTGCCAGCGTGTGGTGGTCCTCCCAGAAACCAGGTCTGAGCCCCACACGGCAAGACACTGCCCCCAGGCCCCACCCTCTGCATTCCACCGCGGTGGTAGGTGAGGCTTTTGAGCTAAGCTGACTGTGCTGGTTGACGTTTCCGTTGGTCTGAGGGTTTGCTGTTGACATTTGGAGGAATGGCCCCTGTGGAGCTGGGAGTGGGAAGGGCTGGCTGCAGGAGGCGGGGGTCCGAGGTCCGAGCACTGAGTTACGTAATTGAACGCTGCCAGGCCTGGGCTTCTCAGGTGTGGGGCAGGATTTCTAAGGCCACGTGGAAAGGACCTGGGCTGGACCCAAGAACCCCTCTGGGAGTCTGCTCTCCGAGGGAAGGACAGATCCCTGCCCAGGGTCTGCAGTCCTCAGGGCCACATGGCTGGTTGGTGGCCTTCCCCTGGGTGGTGATGCGGGCTGTGTGACTGGCACTGCCAAGATCACACAGGAAGCAGGCAGAGCAGCTCCAGCCTGGTCCACCTGACCTCCAGGGCCACAGCTGCCCCTGTGCTGTGGCCAAGCTGTGGGTGTCTGGCCTTCCAGAAACCACTTAGGCTTGTGTCCACTGACCCCTGAGCAGTGAGCAGATGGACGGCCCAGGACGGAGCCCATCTGCTGTGCTGTCGGTGGACGATGTCCCTCCGGGGTATCAGCCAGCAGGAAGGGACCTGCGCAGGCCGTGCTGGGCCCAGCACTCGGCTGGCGAGGGGTACTCGGTCCCTGGGTGGCTGAAGTGCTGTGTTCTTCTGACTCTTTGGTTCCCCCCGTCTAAGATTTTGATCCCTGACTTGTAAATTCGTGATCTTAGGTGTAGAAAAAGTCACGTTCCGTGCCGTTAGTCCTGTCTCCTGGTGGCCCTCTCTGAAGTTGCAGGAGCCACCTTGTGTGCTCGGTGGATTCCGAGTCTCTGCTCCCTGGGCCCTTCAGCCGCCAGGCCTCCTCGGGTCAGAACTTGTTGAGGCCCTGAAAATTGGGCTGGCACTGGGGCTGCATGTCACAGACAGGGCCGTGGCCTTTGGAGGGGCCAGAGAAGCCCCTGCTGGTATTTTGGTTCTCGTCTCATGGCTTGATTCTGCTTTGGGGGCATTTTAAACATTGCTTTTGGGCATCCATTTCTTTCAGCTGTAAAATGGAAGTAATGTGAACCCTTTTCTCGTGGGACTGTGCCGTGGGAACACATGGAAACACAGCAGCCTCCAAACACAGGGCTTGGTCATGCTCTGCAGAGCTGAAACTGGCCAGGAAGTTCAGCAGCAGGATCACTGTGTGACCCTAATGTGATCGACACAGGGCCAAGATTTGTCCAGCCCCCCGGGTGCCAGCACCAGGAGCAAGCCCTGACGTGGGCCACAGGCTCTGGGTAGAGTGATGTGGCTGTGTGGGGCCATCAGTGCAGCAGGGGGAGCCCTCGGTGGGGGATCTGGGTGGGAAATCTCTGACTCTTCCTCCCAATCCTCTGTGCACCTCAGATTGCTCTGCAAAATAAACCCTATTTACCAAAAATAAAAATAAAACAACTTCATTATAAGAGGGGAAGGGGGACTAAATAGGTCAGTTTTCTTTCGCTGAGCAAGGGAGGGTTTTAACAGCCAACTGACCCATGATGACCAGCGAGTGAGTGGCTGGCAGGGACACTGGTCATCTGTGCAGCAAAGGCATCTCCTGAGAGCAGCCTCCACCCAACAGCAAGCTCTGACTGCCACTCTAAAACCACGCACAGCATGTGGAACAGAGACCCTAGACTCATCTCCCTCCACCAAGTGCAGGTTTCCTCCTGCTGTGGAACTCTTCTTCCTCTGTAAGTGAAGCAGGACAGGCACAAGGTAGACTTATCAAGGACCGGACAGGGTGGCTTTTCAGAGAATCCAGTTGTGAGGTCCAGAACACACTCACTCTGCTCCCAACGCAGGCTTGGTGAGCAGTCTCTGAACTGTTCCCAGAGACTCTTCGGCCTCTTGGCCCCAAGATTTGCTTACACAGAGATCTAGGAACCTTGTCAGAAGTTGTGGATCAAGTGGTGCTTTGGCCTTGACACTACTGCTGCGTGGAGCAGGCAGAGGCCTGGGGGCTGGTGCAGCTGTAGCCCTGGACTGCATGCTGAGGACGGGGGAGAGGAGACCCTGAAGCCACAGTGCAGGCTGGAGACGGCCAGGGTGGGCCCTGGTGGACATGCAGGTGGGAGCATGGCTGGGAGGTGCTGATGTGCTTGGACCATCAGGGTCCCCGTGCAGGCCTGTGGTGGACTCCCAGGGGCCAGGGCCGTGCCGAGAGCTCATCAGCAGCCCAGGACATATCTCTTGGATGAATGGAGGCATGCAGGTTGCTGAGGATGGTGTGGCTGCAGCCCCTGTGGGAGCAGGTGTCGTGCTCACAGGCTCTGGTGCCGTGGCCAGGAGCTTTGGGTTCAGCAGGGGGCAGAGCCTACTTCCTCATGAACCTGAGTGGGGAGCGGCCTGCCTTCCTCCCCTCCCTGCCAACAGGCCCTGGGTTTCAGGAGGGTCACCCTGGCGCCATCAGGGGCCCACTTGAAAGGCATCAAGAGCCAGTCGACCTTTTATTGTCCCCGTGCATGGCCCTAAACAGTGCTGATGGCAATGCCCCACCCCATCCCCCCTTTCAGGAAAGGCCCTGGGGCTCCTCTCGGCC